TGATGGCTATCCCATATTGGCTTTTTTGTATTCAAAAAGAATTGTGTAGTAACCATTTTTACATGTATATCATGTGCAGACCTGGACTATTCCAACAAGTTAATATTTTAATTAAAATAGTTTGCAAAAACTGATTCAGATCAACTGGTCTAAATGTGTGTGTCCCTGTGTGTACGTGGGGGAAGAAAAGCTGTCCCAAAACTGCCTGATCTCAAGAGGAAGCACCTCATACACAGCTGTAGCCAGAGGAACTCAGGGTCAGGCTGTGCCTTGGAGGTGTTTGAGGAGGCCCTTGGTGTTGAGAATTTTAATGTATCTCAGGTTTATTTCTGAGATACATGAACAACTGTGCACTAGAGAGATGCAAACACTCTCTGAATCAGTTTGCAAACTCTTATTTTTAAAAGTAAAGCATTTTAAAAAGTAAGGCCAATTGCTCCGTGTTGTGCTCATTGCAGTCATGCCCTAAATTCGGTTTTTAAATTACTGTAATCTGTAAATTGTGGAAACTACTCCAGTACCTCAGCAAAGATGTTCTCTTGCATCTCTTACGTTCATATTTAACACTGGGGAACTCTTCTGTGTGGACTACTTGCAAACTTTATTGCGGTATTTCTAAATCACCAGCTTGACCCCTGAAATCTCTTTTCTGTGGTTATTTTTCTCTCCCCTCTGCAAAGACCTGAAGTTCTGGTGTAGCTTAGCCCAGAGATGGAAAAAAACCCAGAGTAGCCAGCATTTTTACCTCTTTCTGATTCAAATTTCCTTTGATTTTATTTAAAATCAGTAAAAGGGACCGCATTTTCTTTGTTTTCCATGGTCCCAGGGAGCCAGCAGCCACCTCTCCCTTCCATGTTGAACATTACGTGCATTCTTCCTTGGATGCAGCACTGAAATGGAGGCCACAGCTCTGTTTCACCTGCATTCCCTCCAAGCCTGTGAACTTCAAAGAGGTTGAACAAATAAATACGTGGTGTGATACCAAACTTTCCACAGAAAAAGTCCCTGCAGCCATTACTTGCCTGGCTTGGGGCCAGGCTGGCATCGCTCTGTGTCCCACCCAGCCCTCCTGCGCCAGAAGAACGGGCACTGCACACTCTCTGTGACCTGCACGGGGGTGCAGCCAGGGCAGTCCTGGGGTTGTGCTGTTGTTTGAAGCCCCAGGACCCCTCGCCTCCAGGCTCCCAGCCCCTCAACCCTGCTTACGTGCCATTTCTTGAGAGGCAATAAATCCTATCGTACCACTGTCTACCATTACTCTGTTGAATACGCACATCTCTCTGGATATATATATGGTATCTCATTTGTATATATTTATATACTCTGTATGTACGTGTGTGTGGGTATAGGTGCACACACACCTCATGCTGTGCATTTCTGTCAGGGCACTTCAGTTCTGCTGTTCTTTAGCGCTCCTGTTTGTGAGCAAAAGCAACCCATCAGCAGGGCTCTCGGGGCGAGGGCACAGGCTGTGCTAGGGCTGAACCCTCGCTGAAGTGCAGCCCTGGTAATTGCAGCTTGCTTTTTCTGGGGCATGTGAGGGTAGGTAGCTGCTGCGGGTGTGCTTTGAAGGAGAGAAGGGAGCTTCCTGAGGGTACCAGAAAGTCACAAGGCAGCAGAGAAGCAAACAAGATGGTTTAGCGATAGGCAAGCAGTGGAGGCAATGTAGGGATCTGCTGGGGAGGCGGCGAGTGGGCCGGTGAAGTGCTCAGCAGGCTGAGCCCAGAGTCCCCAGCTGCGTCTCACCACGGAAGTTCACAAGCCCAGCACGGTCTCGGCTCACTGCACTGGCACTGGCTTTTGGCATTCCTGAGGTGGAGCCGCCGCTAGCTCTGAACACTGACCGCCTTGGCGTGTGTCTGATACCTGGAGGTTCTTAGGTTGTGTGGAGGGGCAAAAGAGAAGCTAAGTTGGAAGATTTTTAAGTACATGTGTGTGTACTTACAGGCTTACGGTCTGTACATCCATATACACACACAGAGATGCTCGTGGTTCATTCTTCATCCTGCTTAGGCCTGTGTGCTTCGTTACTCAAGTCCAGCCAGCAGCGGACAGCCTCGTTCCTCTCCTGGGTGCTTGCTCTGCAGTTCTAGTAAATCTTGCCCTGGTCTTTCTCATAGTAGAGGGGTGAGTGCCATGCTGGACACCACCAGCTCCTCAAGCTGTGAAGACCCTTCTGACCTTCTCCTTTGTCCTCTACAGATCCCATCTTAGGGAGGCATTTAACAGTTCAGGGGATAAGCAGTTCTCGCATGTGTCAGGTCATGCATTTCCCCCAAGGATGCCCCACCAGCTCAGCAGAATGCCAACCCTGGGCTCTCTTTGTGCTGCTGGAGAATTCGGAGGCAATATTCCCCGTCCCTTCTGGAAGGACTCTTGCAAGATTTTTAGGAGAGACTCAAGTTTGATTGGGTCATTCTTACCCTTTCCCAAGGAGTAGTGTTGTCTTTACCTGTGCTCCTGCCTGTAGGATGTTCCCACCCCAGTGCTGGCCCACAGTGAGCCCAGAACCACATGCCAGGGGCAGAGGAGCAGTGGATATCCAGGCAGGGATGCTGGTCACTGTCCCTCTGCTGTGGTTGGTTGAGTTTGCACTTTTACAAATCGATTGAGCCGAAGTCTTTTGATGAATATATGTCAGGCGCTTTGGAGGGTTGGGGCTTGCTGTTTACAGCCAGAAAATAAGAAAACCTGATAGATCTAGTGGTTTTAGTAAACATCACCCCACCAGGGAGCAGTGGCAGCAGATAACCCAGGTTCCTGTTGCACAATGAAGTTCAGCCAGCTGGGGCTGTGATGCTGCCTGCTGCATCCCTGCCCCCTTCTCCGGGGGAAGGAGAGCCCTTTGTCAGCTAGAGAGGGACTTAGTAAATTGGATTTGCCAGCAAACAAGCACCTTAACCATTGAGCTGTGGGTCTCAATACTTGCACTTCACCTGAAGGCTCCCTGGCGGGGAGAAGGCAGTTTGGTTCATGACCATTGGCTCTGCACCTGCCTGGCATCCTCAAAACATCCTTAAGCCATGTCCTAGGGAAAATAAGACCCCAGAATCAGCTCCCACTCTCCTTGCCTTCTCTGAGTGCACACAGTGAGACCAGGAACCAGGAGGGCCGAGCCTTGCCCCCACGGATGTGAACAAACCCTGGAGGAGAAACTTCTCCCCACCTCGCCCCTCCGGCCCCCTGCCCCGCTCCCCACCCTTGAGTACGGGTACCTCAGAACATGCACAGTTTGAATTTTCACTGACAATTAGTTTAATTATTGTCAGTGAAAAGAATTGTAATTATCTGTAAATATGTAGTTAACAAATTGACCTAGTTTCTGTATTTTTTAAGTTTTTGTACTAAAATTTATAGATACAGTATGTGCCAGCTAGCAAAAAGCTACTGTAATTGCCAGTCGTAGTTCAGCATGCACCTAATCCCTGAGACTTGTCCAGTGATGCTGTAAGGAATTTGTGCTTAAATATTGCGAGCTGGGGAGGCCAACAGCCACTGGCCTGGGGCTTTTGGCTTCCAGCCTCCGGCTGGGTTTTCCCTGCTGGCTGTGTGGAACCTCCTTCCCTTGGGCGTCGTGTACCGCACGGAGGGCAGTGCGAGGGACAGAGCGGTGGCTTTGGGCTTGCTCTGGAGCTGAACTCAACGGGAACCAAGTTCAGGTTCTTTGCTGCAGTTTAATACCGGCTTGTGGCTATGTTTTTAAATCTCTCTAGAAATTATCTGTTTTTCCCCTTCCAACTGTTTTTGTCTTAAGCCCGAGTTCATCTAAATCTACTGGAGGAAAAAAAACAAAACAACAACAAAACAAAAAAAGACTTTGATTTGAGGTCGTTGCCTGCTTTTAGTGCCAGGATCACACATTTCTATGGCAACTCTGAGCTCAGCAGAGTGCAGAAATCAGTGCAGGGTTGTTGACAAGCTGAAGTCGGCGGCCGCTGCCTCTGCACAGCTCTGGCAGAGCCTGACTGTGGCTGGTGGCAGCTGCCAAGGGCGAGTTTGGGGGTGCAGCATGGTGGCTTGTGGGGGTCCCGGTGTCCCTGCCCCACTGCAGCTGGCTTGCCCTGCAAGACCTGCTGCTGAGTGAGGGGTGGGCTCCTAGGAATGGTCAGGATTTGTGCTCCGTGTCCTGTGGCAGAGGCAAGCCTGTGAGTCAGTAGCTGTGCTGAGCATCCCGGGAAGCTGCGAGCAGAGGAGTCTGAGCACCAGTGAGGCCGTGCTCTCCGGGTCTGGTTGTCCTGGAGGTTGTAGGGAATGGGAGCTTGTAAGGATTCGAGGATCAGAGAAGGAGAGGCAGACGTGCGTGTACGGGTTTGGCTTTTAGCAAGCAAACCACCCGCTTCCTTTCTTCAGCTTTTCTTCCCTCCTAACCCCCCTGCAGCTCTTCCCCCTGCTTGCTTGGAAACAGGAACATTTTTTTTACCTGCCTAGAAACAGCTAAAAGATTGGGGGGGGGGGGGGGGGGCAGCCCTGATGTAAATAATTAACGTTGCAAAGTGAAGTGTGTATAACATAAAAGGCTACAGCCCTTTGGTGACTTGTAAATGCTTTGAGAAGGTTGTGGCATGACGTGGAGGGGCCAAGCGACCTGCCCGGCCCCGCAGCCATCGCTGCCCCACCACCACCGCGGGGCCGGGGGGTCGGCATGGGACGGGGGGACACCCCAGGCCCCTCGGCCGTGGGACCCCCCCCCTCGGTGTAGTGGATGGGAGGGTAGCGTAACGTGTGTAATACGGATAGGAGAAGCTGTGTGAGGTGTGTATAGTGTATATTTTTTAAAAATAGCTTGCTTGTGTTGTGAAGATTTTAAAGACAAACTTGAGAATTCTAGCCTAACTATTAACACAAGTTTAACATCAGTTACCCCACTGGGTTCAGAGCCTCTTGAATGTATATTCCTTTTTGTAACCTAAATGACCTATTCTTCTACCAGTCAGCCAGACATCCTATTTATATTTTTAATTTTATATATTACTTTCCATTTGTTTTCATTATTTCCAGCATGTTTCTGGGTTTGGGTTTTTTGTTTGTTTGGGGGGGGGGGTTTGTTTCTTTTTGCACAAGAATTGTGTGAAGTCAAGGAAATGTTAACTCAAACCTGGTATTTTCCAACCTGTTCCCCCTCCCCTTCCTCTCCTCCACCCCTGTTGTGGTTTTTTTTTTTCTTTCTTCCGCCAACAGTTTGGGATTTTTCTGGGCTGGGATGCAGCGGGTGGGAGGAGGGGATGGCTCTTTTCCATTTGCAGCTTTTGTGCAAATGCCAGGTCTTTTTGCCAGTCAACTAAAAAAATGCTTCACTTGCTGGTTGCTTTAAAAAGGAAAAAAAAATTAAATAAAAAAACAAAAATGTAACCTTATCAGTGCGATGTAGACCCCGGCGGGAGGAGGGGAAGTGCACACCTGTAGCCACACACCTCTGGCTTTGGCTGCAAAACAAAAGCAAATCTTTCCTGGCGAGGAGGTGAGCAGAGGGCAGCTGCTGCCCGACCCCGAGCAGGGTTTGTGGGGCACGAGCTCCGTGCGCGGCCGGGCTCGGAGCCGGGCGGGAGCGCCGTGCCTTGGCCTTGCTCTTCCTGCCTCTTCACGTGCACAAACCCAAGAGCTGCCTGCTGATGACAGCGAAGCTGTTGCTGCTTTTCCTCTCCTCCTTCTCCTCCTCTTCCTCCTCTCCCCCTCCCCAAGGAGGTCCAGCTCCCCAGCAAGAGCTCACCCAGCGCCATGGCCGTTTGCTCTGGGGCATCATCCAGGTACGGCCAAGCCCGGCCGGCGCCGTGCTGTGCCACAGAGCATTAGATAGAAAAAAACACACACATATCTGCTGTTTTACTATGAACACTGGTCTGAGGTTTCCAGGCTCAGCACCACGGTGATGGGCCACGAAGGATTTAACCAGGGGAATTAAACTCCTTCTTGCTTCCGTGTCTGGTAGCACCAGCTGGTATGAGTGAATCTACAGGTGTGCGTTTTCCTTCTTGTAGAAAATGCCACGAGCACTAACTGGTAAGGCTTAATGTACAGTATATTGTCAGTATTCTGGTATTCTTCTGGTTCAACATACATTATAGCTCATATATAACCTGTATTAATTGTATAGATTGTGCATTTAAAGCTGTTACCAAGTTGTCAGAAAATAAGAGAAGAGAAAAAAAAAATAAGGTCATATGTAATATTTTGTTTGTAAGTATCCTTTGTATCATAGCAAAGGAAATGTTAAAAAAAAAAAAATCAACTGTAATAAAGTAATTTTAGTACACGGAGTGTCTGCCTGCCTTTGTGAGACCCTGCCCCAGGGGGGGCTACCGCGTGTAGGACCTCTGCCAGGTGAACAGGGGGGGCTCAGCTGGGGGACCCCCCCACCTGCGGGGCCGCGGCAGCCCCTTCCTCCTCTCCTCCATCCGCAGGAACTCGGCCATGGCCCTGAAATATTCCAGCACGGCCTCGTGGGCCCAGCAGCGCCCGGGCCCCCGGCGGGGGAAGCCGCAGTGCCCCCCGTGCGGGGTGAGCAGCAGGAAGAAGTAGGGGCTGCTGCGGAAGAGCTCCGTGGGCAGGCTGCGGGCCGGGGGGCCGCGCACGGGGTCATCGGCGCTGCAGAGGCACAGCACCGGCACCGCCGCCTCGTCCGCGTCGCGCAGGGGCTCGTTCCGCTCCCAGTAGCTCTCCCAGCTGGTGGGGCGGCTCCGAGTCCGGCAGAAGAGGGTTTCCTCCAGCTCCCGCAGCGAGCGGCTGCCCAGGAGCCTGTCCATGTCCACCACCTCGGCCAGGGCCCCCGCGTACCTGCGGGGATGGGGCGGCCGCCGTGGGCTTGGAGGTGCAGGGATGCTGCTGGGGGCAGTGGGGACACTGCTGGGGACTTGGGGGTGTTGCCATGAGTGGGGGGATATGGGGATGCTGGCTGGGATGGGAGCCACAGAGAATGTTGGCCAGGGCTGGGGCATGCTGCTGTGGTGGTGGAGGGTCACAGGGATGCTGCCATGGGGGTGTCACCAGCTTGTGTGCCCATGGGCTGCTCCACAGTCCTGGCCCTGCACACAGAGGAACAGGGGTGACCTCGGCTGCCCCAGCCCCCCAGAGTGGCTTAGGAGACTCATCCCAGCCCCTTGCCAGGGATCCTGGAGGGTCCCCACAGCGCAGCCTGGGTGCCATGACAACGGGAGGCCAGCACTCCTGCTTCGTTACCGTGACAGCAGCATTTGCAGTGGGAATCAGGAAATAGGGAGGGGGGAGACTCTCTGCTGCCCACCCCCCAATACCCCATCCCTGCAGTAAGCACTGGACCTTGCTGCACCCATCTGGGGTTTGCTGCAGCGTCACGTGTCACCTGTTTGTCCCTATGTTTTGGAGTTTACCTGCAATTTTTGGCCCCCATCTGCCCACCTGCAAGGTCTCTTTGCCCCCACAAGCTCTCAGCACCCCCCAGGGAAGTACCCACTTGCTCAAGGCCTTGGCCCAGGGCAGTTTGTCTCCTGTCTCAGCCAGTGCAATCCACTTGAGCCTGGCTGTGTTGGGCAATAGAGAACCCAGACTCCTTGGGAAGGGACAGCAGCAGTCGCAGCCCCCAGCCCAGCTGTGGGGTGGCATCACAGTCCCCCCACAGGGCCAACAGGAGGGTCAGGTGTTGGGGACAAGGGGCACAGCAGGGAGAGGGGCCAGCCCCACTCACCCCTCGGGGTCCAAAACCAAACAGGGGCTTCACCAACTCCTCCCAGGAAGATTGTGAGACCCTGCCCCAGATCTCCCAGCTCAGGAACCCCAAGATGCTGCCGCAGCCCCAGCCAGGCTGGGGACACCTGTGGTGGCCCAGCTGGCCCCATGGCAGCCGGCTCCAGGCTGGTGTTCATTAACCAGCACATTTTGCTGCCCTCAGCACCTCTGCCCCTGCACTGGGGCTCCCGGTTTCAGCAGCAGCACCCACCCCATGCACACCCCCAGGGATGACCGAGGGGCTCCCGGGGTACCCCCATCCACCTCCCCAAGCCCAAGCGACTGCACTGACCTGCTCAATCCCTGCTTGAGGTGGAGGAGCAGCGGCCACTCGTAAAGCCAGGGCATCCTGGCCTCAAACCAGTCCCGGCCACGGAAGATGGGGGAGAGGCAGGCGGCGGCGGCCAGGCGGCTGGAGGAGCCGCTCTCGCCCAGGTAGGCGAGCAGCAGCCCCGAGCCCGAGCCCTCGCTGACGGCCAGCAGAGAGGCAGAGGGGTGCCGGCACCGCAGGTAGGTCACAGCCTCCCGCAGGTCCCCGGGGTCCCCGAAGGGCTGGAACCGGGGCGTGGTGAGGGGGCAGCCGTTGTGGCCCCGGCGGTTGAAGATGACGGGGATGAAGCCCCGCTCCAGCGCCCGCAGCCCCAGCTGCAGTAGCCCCCCTGTCACCTTTCCGGCAGCGTTGGGAATGAGCAGCAGCACTGGGCTGGAGACCCCCCCGCCGCCACCCGCAGCCCCCCACGGCCCCACCAACCAGTCCAGGGCCACCAGCCCAGCGTCAGAGAGCTGCAGGAGCTCACGGGCCACCAGCGGCTCCGGCTCAGGTGGCTGCAGGAGCTGCCACAGCATCTGGAGCTGGGGCCAGCACGGCCACGGCCAGCGTCCCCCCCGCAGCGCCGCTGACCGCCCCAAGCTCCGCACCAGGTGCTGGGCCAGAGCCGAGGGCTTGCACAGCAGCCGGCAGTGCCCCGAGCCCTCCTCGGCCATGAAGGGGATCCCCTCCTCCTCCTCATCGTCCTCGTCCTCCTCTCCCACGTCTCCAGGCACCTCCAGCCTCCCTGCCCAAAGGCGCCAAGCCAGGAGGCCCAGCCCCATGAGCACGGCGGCTGCGGCCACCAAAGCCTCCGGGGACAGCATGGAGGCGGCAGGAGCCTCCGCCGGCAGCCCCGATGGTCGGCGGCTCGCAGAGCGACGGTGGGGCCGTGCTGGGAAAGCCCGGCCCCGGGGCTGGGCAAACAGAAGGGCTGTGCCGGGGATGGCGTGAGCGGCCGCCAGCAGGGCCAAGGGGACTGGGTGAAACGGGAGGGACACGTGGCCAAGCCCTGCCTGGCGCCGCAGGGGTTGAAGCCCCTGCAGCCACAGACCCTCCATGGGCGCAGGAGCCGGGGCCCGTGCAATGCTCACACCTTTATTGATACAAATGTACAAGGACACATCTTACAGTGGGGAGTGCGGCCCCGGCACGGGGCAGGATGCCCAGGGAGGGGTTCAGGACGCCCGGGGAGGGGGGGCCCGCGGGCGCCCCAGTCCAGTGTAATGCCATGGGGGGCCTCGGGGGTACCGGCCACCCAGAGAGGGGTTTTGTGGGGAGTGGGGGTACGAGGCCACCGCCGCCACAGAGAGCTACAGAGGCTATGTACAGGATAAGTTAGGCGCGCGCCGCGGGGTGGGCAGGGGGCTGTACAGGGGGATGCAGGCACCTACCCCGCAGGCTGAACACCAGCTCCTTGATGGCACAGGGGGCACGAGGAACCCCGCACCTCAGCTCCCCAAAAAGGCCACTTGCAGCCATGCTCGCCCCAGGTGCCGGCTGCTGGCGGAGGGAAGGGAGACATGGAGAGTGCGGGGGCCTGGGGACATGGGGGGGACGCGGGCCGGCGCTCACTGCTTCTTCTCACGAGTGGTGATGGTGACCAGCTGCTTGGCGGCCTTGGCGATGTCGTAGGCACACTGGATGACCTGCTGGGTCAGCAGCTGGTAGTCCACGGTGGCGCCGGGCTCGGGGGGCACGGTCTTGCGGCACTCGCTCTGCAGCCGGTAGGCGCTGGCGTTGAGCAGCCGCAGGGAGCTCCGCACCGTCTCCAGTGCTGGTTTCTGTGGCAGGGCACAGGACCGGCATCAGAACCTGTGCTCAGGGGCTGACAGTGTCTGGTGGGGACCACAGCTGCCTCAGGGACACACCGCTCCTCCTACCTTAGGGAAGAGTGATGCCATCTCTGTCACAGCCAAGTGGATCTTCTCTGAGCAGGGCACGAAGCTGGGGGCAAGGACAAAGGGTGATCAACACAAGGACAGCAGCTTCCAGCCATGGAGGGTGACAAGGCATGGCCCCACCCCTGTCTGGGTGTCCAGAAGGACCCTGAGGCTGTGCCTCAGTCCTACCTATCATGCTTGGACTCTTGTGCTGCCCGCAGCAGCTCCTGGATGTTCTTGGTGACCTGCTCAGTTTTGAGGATGACATCCTCCGTGCTGGGCAGGCCAGGGTCCAGCTCCCCGTCCAGCGGGTCCAGCTCGTGGGGGAAATCCTCATCCTTGCTCAGCTCCACATACCGCTTCCCCTCCATGCTGCAGGGACCAACCAACCGCCCTGGGTCAGAATCAGCCCCCTGTCCCTGTGTCCCCACGTACCCTGCTGCAGCCCCCAGCCCCACCACTCACCTGATCAGAACCTCACCGGCCTGTGTGTTGTCATAGTCACTGTCAGTGCCGCTGCCATGCCGGTCCAGCTTGCTCTGGAGAGGAGAGGAGCAGTGTCAAGGCCTGCCCAGCCCCATCCCCACACAGGGTCTGGAGTCTCCCCACCCCAAGGGTTGCTCCCCGTCCCTGATACGTCACCATGTGTCGGGCACCATCAGGCGGGCAGGTCAGCAGCGGGGAGGATGGAGGGAAGGGCACCGAGGAGGCAGATGGACCTTTCCGGATCTGGAGGGGGAAAAGAGGGGAAGCCCATGCTGAACAGGGTGCACAAGGTTGTGGAGCCGACCCTGGTGACGTGCAGGGGAGGACGAGCACAGGGGACACCGCCACCCTGCATGCAGGAACATTCCGCAGCTGCCATCCCTTGGGGAGGTCCCCGGCCTGACCCAGGGGGGTGCAGGGCGGTGGGGGACAGGACATCCCAAAGGCCACATCCTGGGCAGGCGACAGCCACCATGTCCCATGCAGGAGCCGCCCCCGCTGCGGCCCCCTTACCCGGTACACGCTGGCCGGGATGTGCATGGAGTACAGAGCCTCGTCCTCCACCTCCTGGCGACACACGAAAGGTTATGGCCCCGCGGGAACAGGACCCAGCGCCCCACGGGGCTGGGGAGACTGCTGCACCCCAAAACCCTCCCACCCACCCAGCACACTCACGCCGGGGCTGAAGGGCTGGAGCCGCGTCACCAGCTCCTCCACTGGCTGCCCAAAGGGTTTCAGTGCCGAGCCCGGCTCGTACATGGAGAAGGCCTGGCGGTCCCGGCGGTGTGGGGGGGCCGTGCCCGGGGGGTGCCCGTGCTCTGGCCGCTCGCTGGGGGCCGGGGTTGGATGTGCAGGACCAGTCTGCTGCCGGATCTGCGTGTTCTCTGCCTGCAGCTTGTGGATCTGCAGCCAGGAGAAGGGGGAAGGCATCAGCTAGGAGAGCAGGGTATGCTGAGGAGGGGAGTCCCGCTGGCCCCGCACCCACCTCGCGCTGCAGCCGGCGCAGCTCATCGCTCAGGCTGTTGTTCACCTTCATCAGCTGCTGCACCTTGGCCTCAGAGGCAGCCAGGGCCTTCTTCACCTCCAGGTACTCCTGCAGCGTGATGGGGCCGTCTGACAGGTCGGAGGAGTCCATGCTCTGCAGGGAGAGGAGCTCAGCGCCAGGATCCCAGAGGCGGGGGTCTGGGTGGGGGTCCAGCCGGGGCCCGGGCTCACCCTGGCGCGGTTGTTGCGGGAGGCGTTGCGCAGCAGCTCCTGGTCCGTGTCCTCGTCAGAGGCCACGCTGTCGTAGTCGTGCTGGTCGTCCAGGTCACTCTGGCTCCGCAGCGAGTAGTCAAGGGCGTCTGGGGAGAACAGGGTGGGTGCTGAGCACAGGGCAGGGGGAAGTGCTCAGCCCCACCTTGCTGCCCTCCGTGCCTCACCTGTGGGGCTGAGCAGACTCTTCCCTTGCTGCCGGCGCTTGGCTTCCCCGAGGATGTCGATGAGCAAAGTGGCAAACTCCCTGGCGTTGAACCTGGCCAGTTTTTGCCGGCCCTGGGGGCAGGAGTGGGAAAAAGGGGGTGAGCAGAGGTCTGGGTGCACCAGGGGGTCGTGTGGCCTGGAGGGGGCCTCACCTGGTTGCGCGTGGCTGAGTACTCGGGGTTGACAGGGAGGAAGGGGACGGCGCTGCGCTCTGTCACCAGCGTGCTGTGGTTCTGCGTTGTCAGCCAGACTGCAGGAAGGCACCTGGTGTCAGACCCCGGGGGACACAGGGGCTGGGCCCCCCCGGACAAGCAGGCTGCAGGGCCCGCAGCCGGCAGGACGCAGGCGCGGGCGCAGGGCCAGCCTGCTGGGGTTGGGAGCGGAGCCTGGCCAGGCTGACGGGAATCGCCTCCCCCAGCCACCCAGCAGGGCTGGGGTCCCCCCATAACCCACTAACAGGACCCTCCCCAATGCTCTTCACCCTTTCAGGCACCAGCTCAGCACCCCCCAGCCGGCGGGAAGATGATTTGACACGTCTGTTGGCACCCACCCTGCTACAGAAACGGGAAACCCCCACCCTGCCACCCCCCAGATCAGGGGCACCACTGCAGGCTGAGCCCCAATCCCTGGGGGATCCCGGCACCCACCTCAGCAGCACCCCAGCCCTGGCACCCAGCGGCGGCCCCTCACGCTGAGCAAACCTTCCCGGCCGGAGGAATGAGGAAGGAGGGGCCTGCGGTCCCGGCGGACGCGTCCGGATCGGGGGGAGCGCGGGGCTCAGCCGGCCCCGCCGGCCGCTCCTCCCCTGCGCCGAGCCGCCCGCCCCGGCCCCGGGGGGCTGCACCCCGCGCCCCCCGCTCACCCGCGTCGTTCTCCCGACGGTCCACCTCGTCGTACACGTCCATGGCCAGCTCCTCGAAGAGGCGGTTGCTGAGCTGCAGCAGTATAGGGGACAGTGTCAGGCAGGATGAGAGGGGCAGGCGGGACGCCCCCCAGCCCTGCCCTGGCCCCACTCACCGCCTGCAGCTTCTTCTTGGCTGCCTTGGCCAGTTCAGAGAGGTCCAGGCTGGGGGGTACGGGGAGGGGGGAAACAAAAAGTGGGGGTTATTCCTGGCCTGTTCCCACCAAAACAGTCCCCAGCTGCACCCCACCGAGACAGGGACCCCCCTCAGGCATTGGGGGCTTCACCGAGCAGGGCTGGCAGGCAGGCACAGGGGGATGAAGTGGCAGGGGGCGGGCGGGACCCCCCTCCCCGAGTGCCCCCCGGGTGCTGGGCTGGGCCGAGCGGCCAGGGCTGCAGGGGGGGCCCATGCCAGCAGCATGGGGGCCCCCGGAGCCGAGCGGACAATACCTCTGTGCCATGCACTTTGGGCGCACCCTGCGCTCCGGAGAAGGCAGCGGAGGGAAGAACAGGACAAAGGCGGATGTTAAACGCGCGGGCACGACGACCCCCCACCCCCAGGGATGCTCCAGTGACCGGGGTCCCCCCTCAGCCCAGCGGGGATGCTGGGGGGGACATGGGACAGGGCAGCGGGGCCACGGGCGCCAGGCACTCACCTGTCAGCCATCTGCGGGATGATGTAGTGCCCATTCTTGTGGTCTGCACAAAGACAGGGGTGGTGAGCAGGGCCACGTGCTCCCTCCGGGGCACCCCCCTCACCCCAGGACCCCCTGGCTCACCCGGCTTCCTGCCGCAGAGGTAGAAGGCCAGCCGGTCGGTCAGCTCGTACTGGCACTCCACCAGCCGCTCTGCCAGCTCGTGCTGGGCTGCCTGCCTGTGGGAGGGCAGCAGGGGTGATGCCCACCCTAGGCGGGGGTGCAGGCAGGGGTGACCCCCTTCCCTGCCCTCACCTGGCATAGTCAATGGGGGTCCGGCCGTTCACATCGGGTGCCCCGGGGTCAGCACCGTAGACCACCAGCAGCTCTGCCTGCAGGATCTGCCCGGCCTTGGCGGCCACGTGCAGTGGTGTGGTGCCCTTCTCCTGCGGGCATGGGCAGCCTCAGCCCTGCAGCCTGCATGTGCCATGAGGCTCCAGGACCCCCCAGGGCCCCA